CCCCAAAACCCCAAAACCCCAAAACCCCAAAACCCCAAAACCCCAAAACCCCAAAACCCCTAATTATTTTATTAAATTGCTTTATCATTAAAATTTTTCTATTATTAAAAATAATTAATCACCCAAATGGAGTCTTCAGAAATCCCTTCGAAGAGAAAGTCAAAATCCCCGCCCAAGGAAGACCTTAAGAGCAAACTTCAAGCCCAAGAGGAAGTACAGAAGGGAGAAGTGTCCCCTACAGTGTGGGTGCCAGTGAGTTTATTGATAGCAGTGATCTTTGCAGTGGCTAATGTGTGTGTGAGTACTATATCTAGGCATGGGTCTAAAGGAATAGCGCTTCAGGGGTTCGGAAATTTGGTAGGGAATTTAGTACCCCTGGTCTTGGTATCGAATTCGAATAAGAAAGAATTAGATGATAACAAAAAGCCGGCTGGAAGTTATTTGAAGTGGTTCTATAATATCTATTTCTTCAGAAAGATGGATTCAAAGGGTAATTATCTTGAAAATAAATGGACAGGAAGCGTACAATGGAAGAGAGTTGTACTAAGTGTTATTTTGCTTGTATTTAGTCAAATTGTCACTATTGTGTTCATTTACAGTTATAAGTAAGCTATATATTAACACATTTAGATTTGCCGGGCAAGCCAATTTTAATACAGGAGTCTTGATGTCAGTTTATTCTCTAAAGCCAGCAATCACATCAATAGTCTTTTTCTTAGCATTCAAGCAGACTCTGAAGATGCATGAAATGGCAACGCTAGTATTATGCATGGCCGGAGCCTCGATCATTGGGCTAAGCAGCGAGGATGACGAAAAGACTGGGGGACAAACAATTAGGACTTATTTGATCCTTGCAATCTGATTCATGCTTTTGGATATCATAATTGGTTGTTTAAGATCAGCTATTTTGAAATATTTCTTTGGAAGTTCTCCTGAAATTGATATCTCATCACTTTTCAACTTCATCGAGCTGTTCAGTGATGCTATCTTTATTGGATATTTTATGGTTCTCAGAAGCCAAAGATTCGAATATACAATAACAGATTTGATAGCTGGTACAATCTCAGGTACTCTCTTTAGTTGAGCATGCAATCTCGTTGCTTTTGTCAATGTACGTGGAAAAGCTGGGGTCTGTGATGCTATAATTGAAACCTCTGTTATTTATCAGGTAGTCATTGAAATTCTTGTGTTCTCCAGATTCCCAAACAAGATGCAGTATATCGGACTTTTCTTATGCTTCTCTGCAACTCTCTTCTTAATCTACTGGAGTCAGATCAAGAAGAGCTAATTGTGCATATGAAAATTAGCTTTTCAGCACTAAAATTAATAATTGGGGTTTTGGGGTTTTGGGGTTTTGGGGTTTTGGGGTTTTGGGG